TCATGTTACCAATCTAATTTTATGACTATTTTTTGGTGGTTGTTAAGTGAATGCAGCAGTTGTTAAGCAAATGTGGTGGTTGTAAAGCAAATCCATTGTTCACTATGGGGTGTTTTTGCCAAAATCTGAAAGCACTGGTTTTTGGCACAAACATTGTAAATTGTGATCATGTGACTGCAAGATGCTACAAACAGTCATAAAAGTGGGCTAGTTGCCATGATTGAGCAGTGCTATCAGAACTTTAGAACTGCCTCATGTCTTTTTTTTGGGGGGGGGGGGCTCTGTTGTATGTGATCAGTTGAGGACTACCTGTAATTTCTCATTATTTAAAATGGGGCTTATGAATTATTACTTACATCCCACTGTTTATAACATTACTGTAATTATAATTTGCTCACAATTACAATGTAAGATATTCCTAATTTAAAAATATGTTTTATTTATATGAAATGTTTGAAGGGAATTGTCTCTGGAAAATCATATATATATATATATATATATATATATATATATATATATATATATATATATACATACATACATACATACATACATATATACACACACACACACACACACACACACACACACACACACAAAAGTTATAAAGATTTTCCAGTGTATACTCTTTAAATGGAAGGACTATAGAGCAAAAGTGTTTTGTTCTACCACTAAATTAGATTAATGTAAAAGTGAGTCTAGAATATGCAGTATTTCCCCTTTCACTTTTTAAACACCTTATTTGATTATCAGATTTACTAAACTGAAAGAGGCTCTTTTCAGTCACAGCCTGTTACTCCTTTTTTAATGAATACACAGCATTTCCCATCCTTTTTGGATTAAGCTTTACACAAAGGAAATAGTACAGTGGACTGAGTTGTGATTATGTCTACATTTTCTATGTCCAGTAAATACAGAAGGATTTATGTCTGTATATATTTGTACATCTCTACTAATATGTTACCATGGTAAACAGGCCCACACATCAGGCAAAACTATAGCCTGTTGATTTAATAGTTCTTGCTTTTTTAATATTTTTTTTTAGTTTTGTATGCTACCCAAGTTCCTTGAAGTTGGGCAGCCAATACATTTCAATGAATAATACTAAATAACCTATCATGTTTTACTGAATAAGCCACAACTAATTGGATTCACCAAATATGCTAAAGCATTAGTTATGACTTTAAAGCCACAGTGACTGAGTTCACATTACATAAAGCTGAAACCAAATCAATTCAATCTAATATGTGAACCAGGTGTGTTTTTGCTTTTCTTAACCAAGACTCTAATACCAGGTATGAAACAACCCTACCAGAGCAATGTCTTTTGTATGTGGAAAGGTACCTTAGGCTTTCATAGATTTTAACATTCTAATTGTGTTTCTCCTCTTTTTTTTTCTTTACACTGTGAAACAAATGATGGAAAAACAACTGTTCGGAAAAATAGTATGCCTCATTCATAAAAAATAAATACTTAATAATTGGGTCTGTAAACACTGAATGTTGTGATACTGTCAATTGCCAATTGTCATTATTTTGTCAATGTAAAGTGTGTTTTAATATATCTGCTGAATTACATAAAACTGTATTGATGATATTCAGGATAAAAATTTCTTTTTAATATTACTATCTCAAAAACTGGACTGGAAATTTGAAATATGATAAACTTTAAAGCAATCAGCCAGAAATGTGCGTAAGACATGCAAAACTAAAACTGCAAGGTGGATTAATTTTTTAAAAACTTTTTCTGCTTAACTGATCTAAGAGAAAGGTACCAAGCACGGCATAACATGCTTTCTTCCAGTGAGTTTACACATAAACACATGCTTTATTGCTATAAAAAGCAATCTCTAAATTTAGCAAAGCAATGGATATTGATATTGATTTTTCTATGTTAACAATAGCATACTTGAACTACAGCAAGAACTTTATATTACAGTAAATATTAAGAATGATAAATAGAAAGCAATATGCATATTCAAATCTCATTTTGCACTGAGATTAGAATACTCTCAATCTATAGCAGATATAAAAAGAGGTTATTTACTTTGCCTTCCAGCACCTATGTGGAGTTAAAGTGATTTAAATTTAGTTTTAAATATGTTTGAAGAACTATAACAAAAAAGATACGATTTTTAAAAATATTGTATTTTTGTTATATATATTTTTTGCTTATGAACAGATATTTTATAAATATTAAAAAGTTTGTCATATGTCACAGACTTACATTGTCCTTAGGCCTTGGGATAGTCTTCTGCGTAGAAATAGTTTTTACCAGTTTTTGAATAGAAAAATCATATAATGTTAATTTTAAAGTCCCACATTTAAATGTAAGTATGCAAATATGTAAAAATTAGTACCTGATATTTGGGAACAACTCAAACTAAAATTTTAAATTGTATGGAAAAACTATTTAAAGTTCTTTATTACCCATTTTGCCAATTAATTAAATGAAACCAAATACTTATAAGAATGTAGTTTATAGAATAATATTGATACTACATCTCACTTTCATTTAAATGCCACTCATCTAAAAATCTGTGTACAAGCATTTTCCTTGTAGCTTTTTCTATGAGGGTTCACTGAGAATTTCATTAGTTTCTTAACAATTTTTATATGTTGTCTTTTGTCTTCCAAATGAGACATCTTCTGAATGCCCATACTCAGCACCAGACTGCATGCTGCATTGCAGAAAAATATTGTATGTTGAGGCATTATAGGAATAAAGGGCCCAAAAGATCATCAGAATTTGTGAATCCTTGTTTTCCCCCAAATAAAAAACTGCTAGTACCTAATATCTAAAGATGTTCTTATTCCACAATCTGTTGCCGCACAGATAATAGTCGAACCCCAATTCTGTGATGTATATCATTGAACCACTGCTCCCCTTGAAGAGAGCAAAGAGATATTAATGGTTTGCAGGAGATGCTTCTTCGCCACCAGCCCATTCTTCCCTTCAGAATAAAACTGTTGGGGAAAGGTGTGTGGTAGCTGTTAGTGACTCCACAGAGCTGGTCAGTTAAGTATTTCAGTTAGTTTATGTGAATTCTTTTCCTGTTCACGAATCATTCATTAGCAGATACACTGATTTCTGTGAATGCGTATTTTTTAAAACATTTGGCCAAGTGCTATGGACTTGGTAAATTCTTTGTAGACTTTATCCTGATTATTATATCTCTTTAGTTCTGGCTGCAATGACTCTATTATTAGAATCAAATCCGATTTCCTTTGGTCCTTGATTCAATGAGGGACTTTTTAAAGGGGGAAGACCCATAGACAATGATGAATAACTAATACCAGTGTGTACACATAACACTCCTTTCCATCTAGAAAGCTTTAACTAGCAAAATTGTTCTGAATATAAAAATGAAACCAAATGCATTCTTATGTCCTGTCTTATGAACCAGATATGTATTAAAGTAATTTTTCATATTGCCATATTCTTGTGCACATATTACATGAACATTAAGCATTATTGCCATTTCTGAAGATTAATTAGAAAGGACTACAAAGCACAACAGTTTCCCAAACAATTGTGTCAACAAAAACATATTTGCAAGAATGTTCATGAATAGTAAAGAAAAAGAAGTATGAACATGGATAAACCAAACAGTCAGTTGAAAACTGAATGAATGTTCGTGAACACTACAGGAATTGACCAGCTCTTACCCTATTCCACTGCTGACTTCTCAATTCATGAATTTCTTGTTTAAAGGAATTTGTTGAAATTAAAGGGTGGTTAGATGCACCTGAAATTCATGTATCGAGTCAGTTTCAATTTACAATATTTCTTTTTTTAGAAATTTTGAAGAAAAGATATGCAACCTGATGGATACAATTTGAGGAAATGAGCTCCAATCTGAATCTCATTTCATGTATTGGTGATTTTTTTGTATTTGTTTTTTAATCTAAATACTATATAAACAGCGTATTGTTAGCTGTTCATCTCACTAGATAGGTTCTTTTATCATTATGCAAAAGCTGTTTCCTCTTATGTTTCCATGAAGTGGCAAAAAACATACTCTAAAAATAACATTTGAACGACATGCAGTTTGAATTAGATTGTATGCAGAGAGTAAATTCATATTTTCAACAGAAATATTTTGAATTTCACTACTGATTTCAGGACAGTCATAAATTCAACTACTAGCTTTAAGAAAGACAAGAAAACAGGGAGAAGACATAAGAATCTTTTCTGAGATAGGAATTAAGACAGGATCCTGACTTACCCAGAAAGCAACCGAATAATAATGCATGATTTGTGTAGATAATGCTGGAATTATTTTTAACTCTATTGAGAATTATTAGCTAGTGTGGGGAAAAAAAGAATCAATTGAATTGTTTGGTTAATTAGCCATTAACAGGTTTAGTCCAATTAAGGAGATTGTATTACATTTAAAGATTATAAAAATATCTCTGTATAGATCAATTAATAATTACCTTTGAATGCTACTAATATTTAAATGGTTCACTATAAAATGACTGAGAACTGATCTTATTTGAAAAATGAAGCTAGTCAAATGTGACCAGCTGAATGAAAGTCTAAATGTAGCCTGTGTGTATTCCATTCATTTTGATGAGAGCTGTTATTTTCCTATTAATTTCAATACTTAGGTCAGATTTACTGAGCACAGAATGCTGTTTTAAACAGGTGCACAACATAAAACTTTGTTCATGAAATAAAAATATGCAGAAGAAATCAAACCAAAATGACTAACTTTTGAAATTCCTATTAGCAAATGTGCTTTATTTAAGAACAAACTCCTCAAATTGGCTAGAAAGTAAAGTAATATAATCACCCAGCTAATATGTAGCATTAAAAAAGGCTTATATTTAGCTAATGAAATATTTTGCTTATCTGCTACTGATAAATATGCAATTGTATTAAAGGGCAGCATTTTTGCATGGATTGATCATTCTCCACAAGACATGCATGGAACATTCCTTAAATTTAGGCATGCATTTATTTATCATCAAGCTTCTTCGCATTTTTTTTCTTACCCTCATCCCTTCAAATCTTGATAAGGCTCTTAAAGGTCTCAATGCTCTCAGTGTCCTAAGGGATTTAATGGCACCAAGTTCTGAATAACCCAGCGCATTTGCTGTTAAACTAACCAAGGATACCTGTGGGGTGAAAAAAATGATAAATAAAATTATCCTTTGCATATTTTTGTGTTTAAAGCTATGGCATTTTTAGCAACGCACAGTCTGAAGGAACTATAGTACAAGAGACCTCCCAAAGATAAGCAGGTCCTTCCATGAACCTGAAATCCTTCAACATCAGGTTTGAACTAGGGGTATGTAGGGGTGTGAGGAATAGGTTGCTAGCACAATTTGCTAAACTGTATGTTGTTTAAATTAAGATTTATTAAATGAGCCATGACTGGGTTTATACAATTATTTTAGCCTTTCAGTATCCCAATTTTGGCATTGGATACACTGGGGTTCTAATGGGACAAATCTGGTTAAGCTTTTGTCCTGGTAATGTCAGCCAAATCACTCTAGCTTTTTTTTTTTTTTTTTACATGACTTGGATTCTTGGATTTGAGTGTGGCCTTTAAGGAAATGTTACATAAACTCAGACTATTCTTTAAGTTGTTTGGAGAGAGGTCTATGAACTGACTTCCATTTTTTAAATAACAGACTCCGGTTTCCTGAAAGTGCCAAACATTTTATAGAAATCAAGTTTTCCAATGGCATATTGATCGAAATGAATAACAACATAAAATGTTAAAAGAGAACAAGTTGTGGCAATTTTATAAAGAGTTTAATATATAATACCCTATATAGCAAGAAAAGTTATTCTGACATTGGATTATTATGTAGCCCAAATAATAGCAGGACTAGGTGGAAACCATAAATAATACAAAGAGAAGGTCAAAAAGAGAAATTAGAAAACTGGGGAAGTGAACCAAATGGAAAAACTTTAACAGACTACAGAGCATGGTTAGCTGACTGGAATCCTAAACAAGATTACTTTATACCATGATTATTCAACTTTTGGGCTTGTCACAGCTGCACTGAGTGAAGAGGAATTGTTTTGGGCTGCATATAAAATATACTATATAGTTAATGTACCGTAAATGCCGGCGTACAAGGCGACCCGGCGTATAAGACGACCCCCGTCTTTATAGCCGGGCCGCATTCCTAGAACGTCGTCTTATACGCCGGAAACTACCAGTATTTCCGGCGTATAAGATGACGCGGCGTATAAGACGACCCCCATCTTTGGCGCCGATTTCAGCGCTCGCGGAAGTTGCCTTATATGCCGGCATTTACGGTATATCAGTCACATAATAACATTAAAAGTTTATGATCTTGTGGGGCTGTATTACTATCTGGGGTCTCCTGCAGCCTGCAGGTTGTGGATTGGACCCGCCTGCTTTATACTGTAAAATTTTAGTGCAGATTCTACTTGCAGACATAAATAATATGGGATACCTACATCAACAATCAAGAAATCCAGCCAGCACCAGGCATTAGTAAAGTATGTTTGATATCCATATGCTACCCATTTCAGAAGCATTTCAAGAATAAAGATGTAAGTGAAGACTTTGTCAGCATATTCCAGTATGGTCTTGATGGTTTTCCTCTGTTCTATGTATATGTCTTCAAAGGCCTGTAAATGGTAACCCACAACATTTAATCTATATTATAATGGAACAATCTCTTTTGTGGCCCTCAAAACACTCCCAGATTACATTTTCTATGATTGAATTTGGTGGGAAATTGTCAAATAATAACTGATTTCAAATGGAAATGGATACTCTCATGCAATGGCTGAAATATAATAAAGTAGTATTAAAAATGCTGAAATGCCCCTCGATGGCTCTACCCATTCATGTGGTTCTCAATGGCAAAAATATTTATTTAGATCAGTGGTTCTCAACCTGTGGGTCGGGACCCCATTTGGGGTCGAACGACCATTTCACGGGGGTCGCCAAACAACGCAGTCCGCCATTTTTTCCCCCTTTTCCTTAGCTGTGCTACTCCCTTTTATTCTATTGGCTTTTGAAAGCCAATAGAATAGACTCTCTTGAATAGAGTCTAATTCTATTGGCTTTCAAAAGCCAATAGGAATTGTCCAGGCTGTCTCTGCCCTGCTGAGCCCGCCAAAAGTCCCATTCTGCAAACGGTGCTGCACCAGTTGAGTAGTCCTTGACTTACAACTGGTTGAGTAGTCCTTGACTTATGACCGGTTGGGGGTCGCGGCATTAAAAAGATTGAGAACCACTGATTTAGATCTACCCACAAAATTTTACCTTCCCCTCCTCCAGGTATAAAGGATGTACTGTAATCTATTCAAAGGTTTCTCCAGTTCCAAAAAATTATTTCATTTGATTTTGTTTCAGACATCGCAAATAGTTTTATAATTATAATGTAACCCCCTGCCTTCATTTTTTTAAAAAAAAATTCATTATTTTTACTTACCAAAGCACCACTGCTAAGGAGAATCATAAAAACAATGAAGGTTTCAAACCAGTTGTGTTCAACTATTCGGAAACAGGTTTTTCTGAGACTCCACCATTGCTTTCCTCTTCCATCTTCTACACTAACTTGACAACACTTGAACCTTTGTACACAACCTAAAATGTATTAAACGTTAAAAAGGTGAAAAAGAAACAAAAAGAGTTTTATATTTCTTGATCTAAGACTGTCTGACAATGAACTATAGCCCTTTTCATGATTATTTTTCTATTTTATTAAGTAGACCTATATCTTATCCTTCAATAAGGAGGACTATGTACCACTTTGTTCTCCAACTTTAATTTATTATACATCCATGAAATAGGCTGGACAGAGAAAGCTTAGAGTATCTAGTAGGCATCTGTAGCAAGGTAGAGGAGAACCTAGCGTCCCAGCTCCTAATCCAACATCTGTAACCACCAAACTGTATACACTCAAAACATGCTTTGCATTCCTTTTAAATGTATGTCTTCTAGGAATAAACTAACAAAATGTTGGATACTTAATCTTCCCTGACCTTCTGTAAAACAAGCTTCAGGTTCAAGAGCCTCCTCAGGTTCTACCACTGCTTGTTCTTCACCAGGTTGCCCAATATCAACTGTGCTTCCTTCTGATGATGAGCTAAAAGAATTTAGTTTCTGTTAAAGGAGAAAAAAATTGTAGTTAACACAGTCTAAAATAACCGATTAAAAAAAGCCCAGCCATCCTTTTAAAATGTTATATGGTCTCTTTGGAAAAATGATAAACGTTAATCAGAAATAGGAACATTATTCTGAGCTATCTATTGCAAATTTAGCGTATGGACAAAGAAGGATTTACTGCTCCTTATAATGTAGGTCTGCACTCAGTAAACAAGTCTGTGAATGTTTAGTGATTTTGTAATGGTATCTGTCAGTCCCATTTCTCAGGCAAAGTTAATTAAAGCCTAATGCTAAGGTATGATTACATAACGATAGCATTGTATCTTGAGGAAAACAACAGCGTTTTACACAATAACTGGTAAAAAAGTAATATCCAGAGAACAATGTGGCTAATTGCGTTCTGAAATTAACGATGACTGAATATCACATGGAACATTTGGAATTTCAAACTGGAAATCTCATAGACTGCATTAATGGTTGCTGCATTAATTCCATTGAAATAACTAAGAACTAAAGAAGTGAAAACCAGAATATGAGAAGGAAACAAGGATGTAGGAGTTCAAATAAAAGCAGAGAGGAAGGTTACTGGTGAAAATTTTCATGATAAGCCCAGAATAAAAAAGATAAAAGCCTGTGAAGGGGAAGAGAAAATGAAAAGAAAGAATAGCTGCTTAGATAACTATTTTCTATCTCTGTTCAATCATCCAAAGTTTCTCTTTTTCTCTTTTGCTTTCTTATAAAGATGAGGAATCAAATACAAAAGAAGAATCCAATTAAACAGGAAGGAGAAGATGGAAAATACAGCTGCAATCAGATTTTTAAAATAATCAATATCTAAGCATGCTGTGTTTTATAAAGCCCTATAAGTGGTACAAGATATTGGTTTTCGGTTTTTACTGGGAAGTATGGCATACTTTTAAAAAATAATACTCTGAACTCTCACATTGCAGTAGTTTTTTTTAAAGTAGTAGTCATGTTATTGTGGATTTCTATCATCATTATAGGTCATGGAATACTTTGCCACAGATTTTAATAGTTTGCACTATAGAAACCAGGGGATCACCAACACAACATGGTGCCAGTACGAAATTGGCTCTAGGGTTGGTCAAAGCAGATGATTTCAAGAGTGGAGACGGCATTTTTGGTCTGCCTGAAATGGGAGCCTAGCAAATTTGTCATATGGGACTTTGTGGACTGTCGGTTCTCCCTTTGGTGGAAACCTGTATCAGTTCTTACTTCCAAGCTTCTGGACTTAAACAAGCTATTCTGATTCAAGATGGTTGCTTTAGATAGATAGATAGATAGATAGATAGATAGATAGATAGATAGATAGATAGATAGATAGCTATAGATATATCTGATATTTTGTACATTTCTAGACTCATTGATCAATTTTAATTTCCCCTCCCCCAACAGCCCTTGCTTTGACTGAGCTAAGCTGGAAAGAATGACAAGAATCTGAAAACAATTTAAACTATCTAGATCACGTGTCCCCAACCCCTGGTCCCTGAACCAGCACCAGTCTGCGGCATGCCAGAAACTGGGCTGGGCAAACAAGTGAAGGAACCAGTCCCTAGTGGCCAAAAGGTTGGGGGCTGCTGATTTAGGTCACCCCTGGCTGCATTTTAAAATAGGATTCCTGGAATTTATTTGTTTCACTGAGAATTCACTGAAGATTTACTACTCTAGCCACTATAATAGTACACTATAGTTACAAATATTGTGGGAAACACATATAAATTTCTAATATTACCATATTAGAAATTTATATGTGTTTCCCACAATAATTCCAATTATATATTGGAATGTAATTATATGCAAGTGGTAATGATGACAAGGTAGCTTAGACGTCTTCCTTCCTTCCTTCCTTCCTTCCTTCCTTCCTTCCTTCCTTCCTTCCTTTTTATTTCTTTCTTCTAATTACTATCCCTCACATAGCTCCCTGTCATAGGAATGAGGTGGAGGGGTTAAAGATTTAGCATGAGGAAGAGGGAATTTTTGTTTCTATAGCCTAACAGCAGCAAGGATACGGAAATGATGATTTTTTTTGTATGTGCGCTTTCCTACTGGTAAGCTGGATTTAACTGATAGTGGGTTGACCGTGTTCCCTGGAATACCAGATTCATTTCAAGCAACTATCGTTTTCAACAGAGCCTTTGTCACTTGATTGTAACTAATTAAGATACTGGAATTAACTTGGGTCTTATCAAAATATTGTGGTACTCTTTTCTGAATCCCATAAAAAAAGGTAAAGCTTTACCCTGCCAGTCATGTCTGACTCTAGGGGGCAGGCTCATCTCTGATTCCCAGCCAAAGAGCCAGCGTTGTCCAAAGACATTTCCATGGTCATGTGGCTGGCATGACTATAGGCCGAAGCCACATGGAACACTCAAATCTTTATGCTATCATTTCGAAGATTTCATTTTCCTACTAATTTGGATTATGATATAAGAAATGTGACAGGGTTGGATTTATAGAAGTAATGCTAGTGAAATCGATGGTAGATTCCCTTTTAGGTGTCTCTTTTATTTACTTACTATACATTTATACTACTATATGTCCTTTTTCTTGCTTAGCAACCACAATCTGTCCCTTAAATTGGAAGTGAAATGGTTGCTAAATGAGAGAGAGAGAGAGAGAGAGAGAGATGCATGCATTAATCAGAAAATGATTTATAAAAAAAAGTCTTTGGCAACAATTGTTTAAAACGAGGTAGCTGTTAAATGGGTATATCCTCCAAGGATTCATTGGAGGCAGTTTTTATATTCTAATCCACTTGCATGAAAATATTTCATATTTCTAATCCACTTGCATGAAAATATTTCATATTGTTTAAAACAGTGGTTCTCAACCTTTCTAATGCCGTGACCCCATAATATAGTTCCCCATGTTGTGGTGACCCCCAAGTGGATGTGGCCACCAATAAGAGGGAGTAGGACAGCTAGGGAAAAGGGAAAAAAATGGCAGACAGCGTGGTTTGGTGACCCCGGGAAATGGTCATTCGACCCCAAATGGGGTCCCGACCCACAGGTTGAGAACCACTGGTTTAAAACGAGGTAGCTGTTAAATGGGTAATATCCTCCAAGGATTCATTGAAGGCAGTTTTTATATTCTAATTCCACTTGCATGAAAATATTTCATACTGTATTTCACATTCTAATCCACTTGCATGAAAATATTTCATACTGAAATCTTTGAAATATACTCTCCCTTCTCAGAAGTATTTCTTATCCCCTAAATCATGTACATTAGTAGCATTTAAAATCTTACTTCTTTGCTTTCTTCCAAATCAGACTCACTGCTGAATTCCTCGGTATTTAAATTTTCAAAATCAGATTCTCCAACAGCAATGGGTACAGTCACAGTCAGACTTGGATTGTTAATGAACGACATGTAATCACTTTCATCTACCACATATCTTTCCACACTGCTGCCGGTGCCTATGCCACTGGTGGTGGTTCCATTTATATCTCTAAAATAATCAAGACCTTTGCCAATTGCCACTGTGTGGTTAGAGACGCAGCTGTTTTTATTGTGGAGCTCCTCAAGAGGTTTGATTTCATCTAGAGCTTTTTGCTTTTTAACAAAGGATTTCTGGATGAATTCGTGGGTTTTTCTTTTCATAAAATCTACTCCTTTATCAATCCTCGCCATTGCAATCTGGAGATTGTTCATTTCATTATCATCATCTGTAGCAGCAAGGTTATCTGCACTAAATGAGCTCAAGAGCAAGGCCAAAAAGAGATTCAGCACCTAAAGAAAAGCAGGAAAATTCATCCTTGGTTTTGATCAGCAAATGCTTTACACTGAAATAAATTATTTGAAATATATTAAAGACTTACAACCTAGTTCATGAAACATGCATTATAAAAACGGAAGGAATGTATAGGTTTTAGGCTGTGCTAACCAAGATAAAGACTAATAGGACACATGCACACACACATCCATGCAATCTGGGTTCACACATCAAAGCATTACTTAGGGTAGAATGGGTACAGATGTTTATGGAATCTTTTTCTCTTATGAACTCCCCGCCCTCCCAAAATGGCACCTGGTTTTGACTAAGTCACAGAAAACTCAGAGCTGCCTTTGAGACAATGGAAGTTTTGTAACACTGCCTTGGAAGATGAGTGCTTATAGAGTCCCATTGCATTCGCTGAACGTTTCCTCCTAATTTATGAAACTTGAAGGAAAGATTGACTTAATGAACAAAAATTGTCTATGCCTGTGTGCTTGTGTTCCTATTATGTTCAGCTTTGAAACTTGATAGTAGTAATTGACAGCCTATTTATCTTAATCAGAATAAATACCTAGTTTGAAGGAGTGGTAGATACAACAGTCAAATTGTATACAGATGGGAACTACAGTGGTGCTTAAAAGTTTGTAAACATTCTGAATATTCAACATTTATGCACAGACATAACCTAAAATGTGATCTATTCTCCATACAAATCGTAAAACTTGTAAAAACTTATAAACTCCTAAACCTGAAAGAGAACTCAATTAAACAAATGAGTCAAAATAATTGTACTACGTCTTTTATTTATTAAGGAAAATTTTGAAAATCAAAAAAGATTCACAAGCTTTTAAACATCACTGTATTTTTATAGGTTGGCAAATATATTTTTGTTTACCAAACACTTCTAATTGTCAACGCTGCTAACATTGGATGTTCCCGCTTTGACAACTGATGAAAATGCAGCCATTTTCTCTATTCCTTTAACATGTTTTTTTCTTACTTTAGAAATTAGGTGCAGCAGAGAGAGGGGGGGATCAGAATGTAAGCTCAGCTAGCCATAACATAACACTGTGGTGGGAACCCAAGGACAAACTGATAACATTTTGATGGGCTGTGGAGCTAAGGGGAAAGCCTGCGCTTTAAGCTAATTGGGGAATGTGATTTATGACAGTTTATTGGGGGTGGGAATTGCACTTTGTTACTTTGTATCAGGGGAAGGGAATTTAGTTTTTGGGTTCAACTATGTAGTGCCGATACTTTGTTTCCCAAATAAAAAGATTCTTTAAGGTAAACAATGCCTCAAAGTTCTTTTGAAAGGTTTCATCTATCGGAACCATGACACTAATGGTTCGATGAATGTTTGACAATTGCATGAAAAGTTGTTTTATTTGAAAAGAGGGTGTCTTAAGAGATTTAAAGAGACAATACTTCTTAATATGGTCTAGAATAAATATTTGTTTTTTAAAAATTACCTACCACTAAATTTCCAATCACCATAACCATCATGAAGACTGTAAGGCACATGGCTTGACCTGCAACCTCCATACAGTCCCACATGGTTTCTATCCATTCTCCACAAAGAACTCGGAATACGATCAAGAAAGAGTGGAAAAAGTCATTCATGTGCCAACGAGGGAGTTCACAATCTTTTGCAATCTTGCACACACATTCCTTGTAGCTTTTACCAAAGAGCTGCATACCAACCACAGCAAAAATGAAGACAATGATGGCCAGGACCAAAGTCAGATTTCCCAAAGCACCAACAGAGTTGCCAATAATTTTGATCAGCATATTTAGGGTTGGCCAAGATTTAGCCAATTTGAAAACTCGCAACTGAAAAACAAAGAAGTGACCAAAAAAGTTTAGTAAGTGATAAGTTAGTTAAAAATAATCAGATGGAGCCAAATTACACTGAAATAAATTGGTGTTCATATATTACAACATTGAAATGCAACCATCATTATTTAAAAATGAAATTATTTCATTCATTTTCTTCTAGTGAGACCCCATTGTAATTTACAGTTTAAAACTGAAATCTTATTTATATGTAAGACTAACTTTATGAATTGGTTTTACTGATACAGTCAAATAATTAGTTTCAAAGTGCAACCAACTTTTATTGAACCATATAGCTCATATATGCCATTCAAGCTACTTCAATAAAAAAAACAACCTAAGAATCTTAGTTTTATATGTATCTAGTGAGTCCCACCACTGAGAGAAACAACAGAAAATCAGAAGATGAAAATCAAGGATTTTGCCAAATGATAATTTTTCTAGCAGAGATTTCCATTAATGAAATATGTTTGGACATAATTCAAGCTACCTTCCCATTCTTCAGAATTTTTTTTGTATCATTTCCCCTTCTGCCATACTGTCCCCATCCTTCTGGAACAGATCTGAAGGATTTGCTGTGGCTATTGTATCTTTCAGACAAAAGACTCCACAAATAACTGCCATCAGATACAAGCCTCAGAATTTTGAGCATTAAGAAAGAAGAGTATTCAGTTCCGAAATGTAGTTCAGCATCAAAATCAATTAATTTTAGCATCCTGAATGGGTAAAGATGATGTACATGTACTTATATTTGTTAAATTAAACAATTTACCAGTCTGAACGATCGGAGAACTGAGAGTCCTTCCACATTTGCTAGGCCAAGTTCAACCAAACTAAGGGTGACAATAAAACCATCAAAAATATTCCAGCCTTCTTGGAAATAATAATATGGATCCTTGGCTACTAGTTTAAGAAACATCTCTGCTGTGAAGATTCCTGTGAAAACCTAAAATGTGACAGGCAGATTTAACAATTTCCAAAAGCTTAAAAATGCATTTGATATATTTTATTCTGATTTTTTTATTCATTATGTCTTAAATGTGTTATATTGTTTAATATCACTTTAAAAAGCATGCGGGAACTGGAAGAACGTTACTGGAAACTTGCATGAAGTTTTCTCTGCTAATAATTTGTTGAGATTTTAAACAGGAAAACAATGATTTATCCCACTATCCAAAGCAACTATAAAGATAGTTACAAATGTTAGAATTGGACTGTCTTTTATTTTCCTTAGAGCAACACACCGCTCAGTTAGGTAATTTGAATACTTAAAATGAGCAGCAATCAAAGATCAGCTCTAAATGTGTGTGCAGACACAATTCTATATTTTGTAACAATATGGAAATAACAATTAGTATCAATACTCTTTTCACCTTTCGGCTTCTTCCCTCATATACTTGGCTGTAAGATTTTTATTCCGGTGATTTTAAACTGTTCCTTTTTCTGTCCTTCAAATGTGAGTTTAGTTTTTATTTACATTGATCCCAATTGGGAAAATCAAATTAGACTGCATAGTCTCAGTTTAAAGGCAATAAAGAAAAGTGATTTAAAATCATCAGCAGTAAAACCCTGGGAGGAAAAACTCCACAATTAGCTTGCAATTAGTGCAAGACTGCAGTAATAATGGACAGCTAACTCTGTGAACCATGAGAAATTTGTTGTGGTATCTTGAATTTAGGTTGCAGTGAGGATCAGAAATAATTTGTGAAGTACAAATTAGGTGAGAAGTAGTCTTGATTGAGTTTAGTAAGGCTGTATAAATTCAGAAAATTACTTGTCCAAAAAGTTTCAAACCATTACACTGTGACTGTTGTATTATCAATGTATTTTTAGTTACTTTATTCTAAAAGTGCCTTAAGTGATATACAACATATGAAATGTTTTGATTAATAAAACATTAATATTTTGATAATTACAATATTTTATATTTTAAAACATTCTTTAAAAACATGGTTTTCCTTCGTTATCACACTGAAATCAAACCACAAAATGAATTTTCTTACTGTATTTTGAGATATATGGACACAAAATCACTGTATATTTTTTTTAAAATAGTACTCAGTGTATATTGCTAACCATATCTATCCAGTATTTAAGGTCACTCATTTCTTTTGTTAAAAGAGAATTTAACTCTTCGCTTAGTGCTGTTATTAACAACATCACTGGAAGAAACATTAATTAAAGGTGCAATATTCAAGCTCACCAAGTTTCCAACATTAAGGACTTCCGAAAATCTTTCTGTCATCGGGTAATGTTCCATTGCCATGAACAATGTATTTAAAACAATGCAAATTGTAATAGCGAGGTCAACAAATGGATCCATCACTATGATGTTAACAAAATGCTTTACTTTCAGCCAACCCGGGCAGCAGTCCCAGATTAAGAAAATGTTAGCAAATTTGTACCAGCAAGGTGGACACTTCTGCCGTGACTCTTCAAGTTCTGTTTAAAAACAAAGTGAAAGGTTATCATTTTAACACAAAGGAAAAGTTATCTTTTATTGGTTTTGTTTTTTCAACTTTTAAGTATAAATAAAGAAAAAAAGAAGATTCAGTCACATATGATATTGGAAGAAACATTTGGACACGTGAGAAAAAAAGTTTTACTACTCTATGTCTACTCCAAATAAAGTTAATTCTCAAGATGCAGGCCCAGAGTCTCACTGCCGTGTCTTCAATTCAGATCACTGTATTTAAAAAAGAATACTCTAAAATTAGAGTACTCTAATTAAAGAGAACTCTAAAATTAGAAAGCAGATAATAAAAATCAAACAATTATGTAAATATTAAGACTTTAGCCTGTATATTCAGTTTTGTGTCTTTATTTGATCATCCCAACCCTAGATTAAAAAAAAGTAAACCCCTTGCTAGCTGAATCCCTTGCCATCACTACGTCTGTACCTTCCATGGTGTTTGTGATTATACTAGCTACACTCATGCCTCTTTCTCTTATTGTGGGGTCTTCCAAAAAGTCCATAGAAATATGGAAAGAACTTGATCTTCTTTTTTTCATTTCAGTTTCTGTTGTTGTGGCCTGAAAAAAAGAGGGTATCATGTAAGATTATCCTGAAAATGGCAGTTCAAGATAGCAAGTCATATGAAGAAACTCTTAGTTTGAAGACACGCATGCATCATGCTTTTGAATTATGTTTAGTTTCTCATGCCAAACATTTGCTACTTATTGAATTATTAACCTGGTATTTCAGTATATTCTTAGACAGTTGTAAGAAACATGTTCTCATTTTGGCAACTTCATTGTTATATAATCCTCAAGAAACTTTCCATGATTGTTTCAAATTTATTTCTCAACCTGCCTTGTTTATCCTTATTAGTTTGGCAAAATCCCACTTACCTATCCATTTCAACCTGTATTTCATTGAGATTTGCATCCAAGTAAAGACACGCAGGACTGTAGCCTTGGAAAGCATTAAACTTTGCCCAATTTACACCTATATATAACTACAGTTGAGATTTATGCTGTCTTCTGTAAATATCCTCATACCTTTTTTTAAAAAAAATATGACACTTTGTAGAAGAAGAAATAAATTGCAATTGATCAGTCATCAGCTATAAATCTATAATCATTTACTTGTGAGCATTTCCCATATATAGGATTATGGCATAAATTCCAGGTTATCAATAAACGTTAAATGATGTGGGAACATAATGACATGTCACTTGCTTATTTTCTGTGTTTAAGATGGACAGCAAGCTTTTCATTCAAGCTTAATCAAAGGAAATGAAAAATAATATCCAGCATTGTCATGCTTCTCTAAATTGGCATAAAAGATCAGATTTGTTTTGTATATAAAAACATAAAATGTGTGTCTAGGAAAATACATATTTGGCACACTGTAACTTGAAATCTATGTACACTAATATGGTATCTCAGTTAGATATATTTGTTTCATCAGCCAAAGATTAAACATCAGATTAAAAGATGCATGAAAATGCTCAATATATAAAGTGAAATTTTGGAGTGATTTTATTAACACTTGGGGAACCAGAACTTTTAGCCTTATTGTTTGTATGTGGTAATGATGTTCATGAGACAGAATGTAATCAAATCTACACAACCAAGGCAGAATCCATATGGCATCAAAAGATTTAACTTCCTTTTGGTTACGGAGAAAGATGTTTCTGGCCAGACACAATTAATTCAGAGCCAGATAAATAAGATCTGGCAAGGTTTTTCTGAATATAAAACACATAAAGCAAAATATTTTGCACATTTTCCAGATACTTTTTCTCACCGTTTTGTAAATATTAATGTTTAAGACTGATTTTATTAGTAGATTAAAAAAATATATATTACAAGATGCAGGAGCATTCACAGCTTGACCAACCAAGGATCATTCCCAGGGATTCCATTCTGTAGAAACACTGGCTGGTGCATTAAGAAAAGGCCACCATGCCTGAACTATTTAAAACTTCCTTACATTGTCATCAGTAGCTGCTTTATCTATTATCACCTCTGGCAGAAGCTGTCCAACAGGCGATGTAGGAACAGATGGTCCACCAACCAAGGAAACCACCCCATTGCAATCCACAGTGCTGTGCATCTTCCCATTCACTGGAAACACTGCCAGCATCCTGGATGACCTACTGGCCTGACTAATGTTACTGTTGCGCCGTTCACCATGTCTGCGCGGCACAAAAAGAGAATCTCTTCTGCTATCATTATCTTCAAAAGTGCTGTGTTCATCATCAGCAAAGTCATTCTCTGATCCTATATCCTTTGCTCTACCTCTGAAGCTGAAAAGGCTTGTTCTGCTGTTGCGCCGTGGGGAAAACAGCGAGCCACGCATGCTCAGCAAAGACTGTAAGAAAAGATAAATGGATAGAAAGTTAGCAAAGTCATCTAAGTCCTGACCTTCAATGATAAAAAGAAAGGATTATCTTTTCCATATATACATACAGAATGTAAATACAATCTTAGACAGTTCTTTTCTATGATAGATTTTGCATTTCATGAGTTGCTGCTACTGAAAGAGGAAAACTTGAGACAAAAACCTTCTAATATCCCCAAATTCAATATTTATTAAAACTCTCCTTCCTAAATATCTGAGGTCCAAATTGGTTTACTACGTATGTTAGGGCTTCAATTTTTATCCATGCTTACTTGGGAATGAGCCCATTTAATTAAATTTGATTTAATTATTCTTCTAATTAAATATACAACAGAATATTTCTTTTGCAAAAATATCTGTAGAAAAAGATCAAGGTACTTCAGACTTGTTGGATTTAAAAAAATGTAAATAAGGTTTTTGAAAAGGAAATTTCCAGCTCATTTATATAATTAAAACATTGTCATCCATTATTTCTATGAATCCCTTGGCTTATCTTAATTCTCAATATCTAAAATTATTTGCCTGCAATACAATGAATTGATCACCAAAGTAGATAGACTTCATAAGTTTCATGACCATGACTGGACCATAAGAAACATGATAAAATTATTAGGAGTTAGTATAAACCCTTAGTATGGTATTTCAAATAATGTTTTCAACAACTTGTCTGAAATGGTATAGGGCAGGAGTAGGCAACCTTGGCTCTTTTATGACTTGTGGACTTCAATACCCAGAATTCCTGAACCAGCCATGCTGGTTGCCTACCCCTGGTATAGGGTTTCCTGCCTGAGCAGGGGGTTGGACTAGATGACCTCTAAGATCTATTCCAACATTATTATTATTATTATTATTATTATTATTATTATTATTATTATTATTATTATTGTTATTATTGTTGTTGTTTTTGTTGTTGTTGTTGATGATGATGATCATCGCACAGGCAGCCAGATGTTCAGACTGGATTTGGCATTTTTGTCTACCTATCGAGTCCTTACCCAGGACCTGGGATAGGCAGATGTGGATGTTTGATGGTATTACAGATATCGTTACAGGATGGAAGCAGTTCCTAGTAAGGCCGCCTTTTGCAATTGACTAATGGTGAATTTGTCAATGCCAATGGTGTTCAAGTGGTGCTCCAATTGTTTTGGGATTGCACCCAAGGCGCCTATTACTATTGGTACATCATCATCATCATCATCATCTCTGTGAAATTTGCATTTCATGAAAAATCGACTCTCTAAAACAATGATCCCCAACCACTACTGGGCCACAGCCCGTTTGGAACAGGTCCACACAAGTGACGAGCACGGACATACCCGCAAAGCTCCACTAATATGAGCAGTGGGTGCTTGCACTCATGCATAAAGCTCCACTTTGTGCCACTCACACGAAACCATCCCCTCTTCCCTCCCCCGTGCCCGGCTGCCAAGCTGGAAAGGTGGGGGACATCTACCTTACCCTAGATTTAAAAACAAGAGCTTTCCACCTCCCAGCAGCAAACATGAATGGGCAAAAGTGCTGTTTTGTAAAAGATCAGTCTCTTCCAAAACAGCACAACAAGACTGTATTTTTTCCAGAGACAATAATGACTGAGTTCCATAGTTATCACAGTTTACCTGATGGGGAGAAGAATGCTTTCGTTCTAATGTTAACCTATTCCCTTCAATGGAGAATCGGCAACCTTTTCTCCTGATACTATCTTCAGATTCAGATCTGTGAAACTCATCTTCATCTTTTTCCTCTCCACCAGATTGTTCTTTTTGTTTTCTTTTCTTCCTTCTATTTCTTCTCTCTTTGGCACTCTTGGAACTCAATTTGGATGTTTCAGATGAACTTTCTGAATGTTGCCCCGTTCCACCTCCTGTGCTGGGGTCTTTAGATTCTGCAGATGCAGTTGCTGCTGCAATCGCCGCTGCCTGCCATGAAGTATTAGTAGCTATATTTTATTGGTCTTATGAAAAGAGCAGCTTTCTTAGTTTTAACATGAAAAATACACAAGGAAAAAACATTGCATAATATAATATATAGGATTTTTTTAAAGCAATTGGAATATTTATTATTGTCTTGCACTTAAGATTAAAAATATTACCATATTACATTCATTTGTCTAATTTAAAAAATGTATGCTAAGCGATCTTTTTTAAACCTGATCAAAACACAAGAAGTGAAAAAGATATTTATGACACAAAGAGTTCCAATCCAAGTTCTCTACTACTTAGCTAATCCAGGTATCACCACCCTAGATCCATATTTAGATTGTCTCCTTTTCATACGTCTGTAGAACCAGATTTCTGTCACTTAAAATGCACAGCCACCCTTTTGGCCTTCCAAAAGTCATTGAAGACATGGCTGGGCCAATGAGCCTGGGGCCCCAATGGGGGCATGGCATTTTAGAGGTGGCTAATGGAGTAAAGAACACCCCACTTCCTTCCTGTACACATTTTCCTCTCCCCCTCTTCATCTGGTTCAGTTTTAAAGAACTGCATTTTAAATATAAGAATCCCCATTTACTGCTTTAATGTTTTTAGTGAATTGTAACTGTATGTCTGTAAGCTGCCTAGAGTTACACCCCCAGCATGATGGGTGGCATAAAAGTTTAATAATAAACAAACAAACAAATGGAATAACAGAAGGGTTTGTTCTATATTTAGGAGGCTCTGGGCAAAGTGATCTTGGTGTCCTACTTGTAGTGGTGTCCTATTCTCCCAGTGACAGCAACATAAAGAAGCACCTAGAATCATCTCAGCTGGTGCCACAGGATGAATGGCCTGACATAGAGCAATCAAGACAATCCTCATTTCAGGCTCCCTACCAGCATTCCTCATATTGTGCCATACTGTGCTGAAGCAACTCTAAATTAATGGCACTGGGATCCAAACTGCAGCTGCATCCTCTCTTGCTACAGCAGACTTGCCCTGCTTTTCTCAAGGCTAAGGGACCACTGTTTTCCGTGGCGGCCTGTACCAGGGCTATTGAGTCCTTGAAGAGACTCAGTACCAAAAGGAGCCACATAGTTTCTTCTAGGAAGTACTGTATGACAGCATTTAGGTTTGCCCAGCATTGATAGGTTTATTAGCTTATTTATTTAGTCAATTTATATGGCCACCTGTCTCAAAATAATGGTTCAGGGCTGCCTACAAGAATTAAAACCAACAATATTTAGAACCATAAACCACATCACAAATGGCTGAGGTCACAAAAATCAATTCCAGGTTACCAAAAAAAAAAAAAAAAAAATAGTAAAGCCAATCAACCAGCAGAACCTGTTCAACCTTCTGTCACAAACTGGGCTGGGACAATTGGAAATTAAAATAACTTACTCTCCACTTCCAGCTAAGTGGCACTGGCAACAATGATTAATAGTTGTCCGTGAATAGGCCTGTGTCAAAATGGCATAGGATTGAAATCCAATACATATTTATTAAGAAGCAAGCACTTTTTAACTCCCGGTAGGATATATTTAGGTTGAAGTATATGTACATAAAGTATATCCTTTTGCATATATACATATAGGGCTATGTAAACCAGCTGGCCTATTACAATCCCAATGGACACTTAGGTAACAAAAGTTTTATTAAAACAAAGGCGACTTGCTTTCAGGGAAAAATACTGCTGTATCTGCAACTTGCACGAACTGCAAACAGAGAAAGAATATATATCTCTTCTTAAGCAGACTGAGAACACTCTCAGTCCACAAATCCAGAGGGAGAGAGGTGAGTTTTGGATCATCTACCAGTTTCATTTTATCCCAGCTCCTCTCTTACCTCGGGCTAGAAAAAGAGTGGATCCTTTTACAACCAAGCAGAGACTGCTAGACTGAGGCAGGAAAGAAGTGAAATGCATCATCTCCCAAACAGCCTCCATTACATAGCTGAATTCTCCCTAAGTCAAATATTCTTTATTTCTTGCCCAAGCTTTGTAACAATGTGTACAGGTAATCTCATTTAATAACTGTCTTGGAGAGGGACCATTCACAAATACAACAGTAGTAAACAGTAATTAAAAATCATTTTCTAATCAGTGTGTACACTTAGTCTCAAATTTCTGATAATAATACACATTGGAGTGTGATAACCCTGGCATTGCTGTACAAGAAGACTTCAACTAGATGAGATGTAGCAGCCAGCAATCTTTGCGAACTCTCTCCTTCTCTCTCTTTCTTTTTCTCTCTCTCTCTGTATCATGTGGTTTGCTTAGCGACCATTTTGTCAGAACTATTTGTAGTTGCTAAATGAGGACTACCTTCAGTCTTATATGAGCATACCAGGTTGTACATAGGAATATTACTTTCTTTTAGCTCTTTTGTGGATTATAGCATTAATGTGGAACTCATTTGAAATCTCCTATTTCTTTTAATGGAGACTTCAGGCAGTAAATAAGGTAATTGTAGCCAATTTAACCTTTTCATTCTAGCGTCTGAATTATTATTTTGGGAGCTTTTCTCTGCAAGTAAACTGGAGGCATAACATTGTACAAGCATTGTTGGATAACCCTGACCCTGTAGGCAAATATGAGAACTATACAATTTGGCTTCATGACTTTCCAGATGTTGGAATGTAATTACCACAGACTCTTAGCCCTTCTCATGCTGGCTGGGCTGAGGAATGTGGTTCAAGATCAACAATATCTGGAAAATTATATTTCTCACCCATGTTTTAAAGAATAGCAGTTCTCTGTTAGGCTTCTATCAATTTGCTATATTCCTCCATAAACCTATTTATTGTACCACTATAACCAGTTATTTCCTATAAAATATATACCTGGACTGCTTCTTGATGTTTTTTCAGCTGTTCCAGCATCTGCTGGAACTCTGCCTCTTTCTGCTCAGCTTCTTCCATGGTGGCTTGATTCTGCTCTTCATAGGCCATGGCAACAACAGCCAGGATCAAGTTGATCAGGTAGAAAGAACCCAAGAAAATCACCAGGACAAAAAAGATCATGTATGTTTTGCCAGCAGCACGTAGAGTCTGGGAAAAATAATAGCTGACATTTTAAAACAAATATACAAATGTAATACTCAAGCATCATGCCACTTATGCTTGGATCACTTGTGTAATATTCTTTTGAAATTAGTATACTTAAGATATTGCTAACCAAATAATTCTCTCTCACCAGCTGATAAAGATTTTCCCAGAAGTCCTGAGTCATCAGTCGAAAGAGAGACAAGAAGGCCCAACTGAATGTATCAAAACTTGTATAATCGTAGTTTGGATTCCTTCCAGCTTTTATGCAAAAATAGCCTTCTGGACATTGACTGAAATAAACAAATAAATACATGTGCATTAATTAAGGCTACAGAAATACCTACCATCTATAGAATTTGTGCTTGCTGAGTATAAAGGGAAGAACTAGACCCAATTTTCTTTCCCAGAGGGCTGTATCCCATCTTTCTGTTCACTTTTTGCCCATTCCCTTAACAAGCTGGAACTTTTAATTCTATGTTTCTCTGCATGAGTGAATCTATCTATTTCAATTTTCCCCAGTTTCTTATGTTTCCATTCCTAAATTCAACTTAATCCATTCCCATATTAAGTCTGTTATATTTTTAAAAGTTTGCCTTAACATTTATTTTTCAAGTACAAATCTATTCATTTTGGTTTACAATTTTAATGTCCACATTTTTTGCAAATAATTGAAATAATGCACTGTATTTTTTCATGAATTGGGTATCTGTGCAGAGTTTTGGTCAATAAACATTCTTTTTCCTGGCCAACTACATTCTAAAATTCAGAGAAAAATAACTGACTTTCACTTCATAAATTACTTAAAAATATAAAATTAGATAAATTCACATTCAAATACTAAATAAGTAACTTTCTCCCTATACTGTACATGTTTGTTGCTTCTTTCTCATTATTGAGGCAATTTTGCATGGGAAATAGCTTCTTCAGAAACAGACTGGAATTCTGGATTTTTCATGACACTACTACCTTCTTTTTCATCTCTATTTGTTTATTCATGGAGAAAATCTATGTGATTGCTAGGAGATGAAAATGACTAGATGGCACATAATCAATCAATTATTTATTTCCAGTTCAACATATTTAAATAATGACAGAGCTTACATATGTTAAATAAGTTATAATGTAGAGGCCAACATCAAAACCTGTTGCAGCTATTTTGAAAGTTTAATAAGAGTCTTACCCTGCATCAGAGCTGTTACCACAAAGCAAAGCATCATTTTGTCCTTCCAAAAAATAAAAATTATCTGTATGAATAAAAACATTAAAAAGAGTTAGCAATCCTAACCCAATCTATATCTACTTTGCTCAATGACCCTTCATTCCTGCAATAATTTTATCAGCAGTTCCTATTCAAAAAGTAGCGAAGTAACAATGCCTAATTGTGACAGTTGTGTGTGCAAAAGGACTGAACAAGGAATTCAAATAAAAATTAGACATGGTTGAATGGTTAAAATGAGGGCATGATGTAAAATTAATTCACAGGAACCATTAAATTATTGTCTAGTGGTTCCACCTGCAAATGTTATTCAACAAAGATCTTGCAAGCTTAATTTCACAGAAGGAAGAAGCCAAGGATATCTGCACTCTAACTGTTCTCCAAACTATGCAAAAGCACTCAGAGACTAGACAAGTTGAATATTTTCAAGTCACTGTTGCCTAAGAATTAAATGCAGTGACACCTAAGAGGCAGATCTGGTCCTCTTAGCTCTTGTCAATCCATATGGAAGGTGCAACTGTTCTTGAGTTGCAAATAAGCTTGATTTTTGACTGAAAAGTTACTTTTCCCAACTTCTCGATCTCAGTAGGATCCTCCAAATACTGAATTCCAAGTTGTGAGAAATTTTTTTTTTATTAAAAAGTTTTATAAATTTTACAGAAAATAAAAGACAATACAAAAACAAAAAACAACATATACAAATAAAAAACAAACATTACCCAACAAAACCCCCCTTCCCCCACCCCTACCCAAACCCCCCTTCCCCCCCCCAGGGCCTCCCAGAGCAGAATATAGGCTTAATTAAAAAAAAGTTAAAAAAATTTATATTTATAAAAAAAGAGAATATAAAATAGAATATATATATATATATATATATATAGAGTTAAAAATTATGAAAAAACTATATAGTATTTTTTTATATCAAATTTAAATTGTATGAATTTTATCCATTTATCCCAAACAGCAAGAAATTTCTCTTGCGTTTGTCCCTTTAAGAAAGCCGAAATCTTTGCCATTTCCGCCAAATGAGACACTTTAAGAAACCATTCCTGCAATGTAGGCAAAGATTCCTTCTTCCAATATTGTCCTACTAACAGCCTCGCAGCTGTAATCAAATTTAACATCAATATAACCTCCTTTGTATCACAATCAATAACTATACCTAACAAAAATAATTGTGGAGTAAATTTTACCCTCCTTTTAAAAATTCTCTGGATATTCCACCATATCTTAATCCAGAATGCTTTTATCTCTCTGCACGACCACCAAATATGATAATAAGTAGCGTCCATACAACCACATCTCCAACATTTAGGTTGTAAGTCAGGGTACATAAAAGACATTTTTTGTGGATCAAGGTGCCATCTATAAAACATTTTATAAAAATTCTCCCTTAAGTTCTGTGCTTGTGTAAATTTGACATTTCTCACCCAAATAGTTTCCCAGGTGTCCAATGGAACTGGCTCGCCAAAATTCTGTGCCCATCTAATCATACAATCTTTAATTAGTTCCGTTTCTGAATCCAATTCAACTAAAACCCCATAAATTCTCTTAATGTGGGTTTGTCTTTGATCCTTCACTTGCTTAATAAGATTTTCATCTTCTCTGAGAAAACCCACCTTACAGTCCATCTTCCATCTATCTGATAATTGCCTATATTGGAACCAAGAATAAATAATATTTTCTTGTGCTAACTCTTCCCGTGATTTTAACTGCCAGTTTTGTCCATCCCATTTAAGTAACTGTCTATAAGACACCATATCCATTTTAACCCCTCTTTTTATTCCTTCTATTGCATGCCAAGGTATAGCCCATAATGGTACTTTGAAATCACTTTTATAATATTTTCTACAAATCCTAAGTAAAGAAGTTCTTAAGATATGAGATTTAAAAGCCCAATCCATTTTTTATTAAATATTAAATAGGCATTGATCTCATTCTTCAAAATCGGTATCATTTGGAACAAAAAGAGAAACTTGGGTAGAATATTCATTTTTATCACTGCAATTCTTCCCATGAGGGATAATTGCAACTTTTCCCAATTCTTCAAGTCTCTCTGTACCCTAACCCACAACCTTTCATAATTATTTTTAAATAATTTTGCATTAGAAACAGATAACATCACCCCCAAATATTTTACCTTATTAACAATTTCAAAGCCCGTCAAATTAACCAAAGTCTGCTTCTCCCGACTAGTCATATTTTTAGGTAGAATTTTAGTCTTATTAACATTAATCTTAAAACCCGAAACCAAACCATAATTATGAATCAACTGTAATAATTTTACTACAGAATAAGTAGGTTGCGACAAAGTGATGACCAAGTCATCCGCAAAAGCTCTTAACTTATACTCTTTTTTATTAACTTCTATTCCTTTAATTTCCTGCGACTCTCGAATTTTGATCAACAGTATTTCCAGTGTTAAGACAAACAGCAACGGTGATAGTGGGCAACCCTGTCTAGTACCTTTCTCTATTGTAAAAACCTCTGACAAGCCTCCATTAACGATAAGTTGTGCCGTTTGTTTTTGATATATTACCATAAGAGCTTGCAATATCTTTTCACCAAAATTCATCTCTTCCATTACTCTTAACATAAAATGCCAATTCAATTGATCAAAAGCTTTTTCAGCATCTAAAAATATCAGCCCTGCAGGAACTTGGTTGTTTTTATCTAAATATTCTAATAAATTAATAATTTGTCTGACATTATTTTTCATGTACCTTCCAGTTATGAACCCAGATTGATCTTTATGCACAAGGTGGTGCACAACCCTCATAAGCCTATTTACTAAGATTTTTACAAATATCTTATAATCCACATTTAAAAGAGATATAGGCCTATAATTCTTTGGTAAAGTAAGATCTTGATCTTCCTTTGGAATCAATGATATAAAAGCAGTACGCCATGAGGGAGGAATCTCTTGACCCTGTAAAATGCCATTAAAAAGATCACCTAATGGTTGAGTCATCTCCTCCAATAAGGCTTTATAATAAACAGCTGTTAACCCATCCGTACCCGGTGCTTTCCCTGGTTTCAATTGTTGAATTGCTAGCGAAATTTCCTCCTTAGTAATTAAACCATTAACTTCATGTTTCTGATCCTCTGTCAATTTAGGGAAACTAACCTCGCTTAGGTATTTATTTATCTCTAAAATTTGCACATTAGTAGATTTATATAATTTTTGATAATAATCCAAAAAAGATTTCTTAATCAGTTCCTTCTGAGAAACTAATTTACCCTTGTAATTTATTTTATCTATTGTTCTCTGTCTCTGTTTCTTTCTCAATTGATAAGCCAGCCATCTCCCTGGCTTGTTAGCATTACAGAATGTATTTTGTTTCATAAACAATAAATTGGTTGCAGCTTGATCTGCTAACAACATATTAAATTGTGTTCTTAACAACTTTAAGGATTCTTTAATACTTTCATCAGAAGGATTTAAAATCAAAGACTTTTCTTTTAATTTAATTTCATCTTCCAATTCTTTACGTTTCTGAATCTGTTTTTGCTTATGACAGTTATTCATTTTTATCAAAATCCCACGCATAAATGCTTTCCCTGCATCCCATACCATTGACATTGAAGTCCCCTTATACATATTCAAAGCAAAATAATCCTTTAAACACTCCTTTAGTTTCTGAACATTTTTTTCTTGTCTAAATAAATTCTCATTCACCCTCCAGGATCTTCTCTCCTCTTTTTCTTGAGTCAACTCCATCCAGACTGGACTATGATCCGTCAAAGACCTAGGGAAAATCTTGACATTCTTTACTCTATTATATAAGTCCGTTGTAATCAAGAAGAAGTCAATTCTTGAGAAGGATTGGTGTCTATCTGAAAAGAAGGTAAAGTCTTTCTCCTCTTGATTACATTCCCGCCAATAGTCCCGTAATTCCCAGTCCTCTTTCATATCAAAAAAGGCTTTAGGTAATTTTGCCTGCTTAAGAAGAGGAGAGGAACCTTTTTTGTCCCTTTGTACATCTAAGACACCGTTCCAATCCCCCATTAGTACCACGGATCTGTAGTCCAACAGATTTATTTTTTCATGTAAGAGTCTGTAAAATTATTCCTGTTGCTGATTTGGTGCATATAGTCCCACTATAAGTATTTTCTTACCATATAAGCCCAATTCAACCATTACATATCTCCCTTGGGTGTCAGACTCCACCAGACAAACTGGTAGATTTTGCTTAACATAGATAACAACTCCCCCCTTCTTCCCGGGAGCAGAAGATACGAAGTGAGATCCCAAACGGGCATTAACTAAATATTTCTGATCCTTAAGTAAAATATGAGTTTCCTGTAAGCAAATAAACATCATTATTACGTTGCTTCAAATAATAAAAGATTTTTTTCCTTTTCTGAGGAGAATTCAATCCATTAACATTCCAGGTCAAAAACTTTGCCATCTCCCTTGGCCCGCAGCCTGGAGAAGACACCTTGGAGATCTGAAATTGCAACATGTGTTGCATGACTCTTGGGTCTTGCTCCTCCCACCGGCGGTGATACATTTCCAGGAGAAATCTCTTTGGCCTCTTTCTTACGTTGCTCCTTCTCTTTACGTTTATAAGCTGCACGAGTCATTCTCTGCTCTTTAACCTCCGTCTGGCGTTGCCATTCAGCTTGCAGCATCCCAGCAGAAACCAAACCTAATGCCTCAGACTGCTGCTCCGCCTCTTTGCCACTCAGGGATTTCTGAACAGGTAAAGTTGAGCCTGCACCTAGGACTGAAGTATAGAATTCTCTAGCTTTATCAACCGTATTCAATCTATAACGTGTCCCCGCATGGCTCAAAACAATACCCATCGGGATTTCCCATCTAAATGGCATCGATCTAGCTTTAAGCTCATTAGCTAAGAAAGCAAAATCTTTCCTGATTCTTAAAATTTTTGATGGGATTTCCTTTAGTATGATGACATCTTGGGCAGCTATCTGAAATCTTTTATTATAAAAGGCTTGTATGATCTCATTACGCAGAGACTTCTTCGTAAAATAAATCACCACATCTCTAGGCAAATTCTTCTG